AACGTTGATGAAGGCAAGAACATGCTCCTGTCCACCGTGGGGCAGCTCGATCCCGACGGATGCATCCTCAAAATGCTGTGCCACCTCCAGACGAGGAGTCACTACAGCCTCACACCAGAGGAGAACCTCCTCGTCGACATGTTCTCCAACAACACTGAGACCATGTCCTCCTACAACGCCGCCTTCGTTTACGCCACGGATGTCGGCACCAAGACCCGCGACCCGTCCGTCTGCAACGGACTCTTCCCCAAATGTTCCCTCAAGGAAGAGCAGCTGAGCGGCCTTCTTCGGAGAGTCTGGGGCTGCGCTTCTAGCCTCTTCCGAGAAGACGTTGAGCGCGAGGACGACTTCAATGCCACTCCGCCCATGGAGCAACCCGTGGTCGAGGAACGGCCTGTCGATGAGGAACCTCGAGAGGAACAACAAACCCTGGACGAAGAGCAGCCCATAGTTGACTATGTTGATGACAAAGAATTGCCCACTGATGACGGATTGTCCCTGGAATCTAAGCTGCCTCTGCTGGATGAAATGCTCCTTGATAACGGAAAGCCCCTGGTTGAGCTCCCCCGAAAAAACAAAATGTCCATGGATGAACTGGTGTCCCTAATTATGGAATAATCAATTTACAATACTGCCTAAGATCGGTAACTATGTGTTAGAACAATATATTCATAGAAACAAATTGCCGAAGTCAGTTTTTATTCTTGTTATCCTTTCAGCGATATAAATTTCCTTATTATAAAATCCTCGTCACGAAACCCATGTATATGTTCGTGGGTGAGCGGCTTTGAAAGTGAGTGGGTATATGAGAGAGAGAGAGGGTGTATGTGTGTGTAAAAGGGTACTGAATGTTGTTCTTTTGATATGCAAGCATTATTTTCCTCGCTATACGTATTTATATGTATATAGAGAGAGTGGGAAAGATTCAGAGAGAAAGTGTGCGTGAATGTATGAATGCGTGTGTGAGTAGTCTGTGTTTGTGTCTGTGTGCAGGTTGGTGTGTTTGTGAGTGTGAATACAAACGCAAACAAAGTAACATGTAATAACAACAACAATGATAATGAGTATAATAGAAGTAATAATATTTATGATGGTAATGATAATAACAGCAATAGCAATGATGATAATGATAACAAAAACAATGCTAACAAAAGTGATGATAATTATAAATTATTATTATTATTATTACCTCCATTATTATATTTTTTTATTATTGTTTTTATTATTGTTACTACGTTTATCATTATTATTATGATTATTAGTTATTGTTATTATTATTATTATAGCTACAATAATGATAAAATAAAGAGAACAATGATTGAGATAATGGTGATGATAACAGTAATAGTAATAATGATACTACTAATGATAATGAGATAATAATAATGGTATTATACACTACAAAATCAACACTGATACTATCAGTACAAATAACAATAGTGATGATGATAACGATAATAGAATGACATCAATAATGATGATTATGATAATGGTAATTTTAATGATAACAATGATAATGGTAATATTAATGATAACAATGATAATGGTAATATTAATGATAACAATGATAAAGGTAATATTAATGATAACAATGATAATGGTAATATTAATGATAACAATGATAATATTAGTGTTAATGATAGTAGCAATAATGATGATAATAATAACAAGAAAATAATAATAAAAACGATGATAAAAGTGATAAAAATAACAATGCTAACGATAATGAAAATAACAATGATAACGATAATGAAAATAATGATAATAATAATAATAAAACATCAATGATAATGATAATAACTATAATAATAATAATGACAATATCTATAATGATAATGATATCAATGAAAATAATAATAGCAATAATTATATGAATGAAAATAATAACAGCAATAATGATCTCAATAATGCTAATAATAATGATAATAATGAAAATGATAATAATAATGATAATGATAGTACAGTTAATTAGAATAATAACAATAATGATTCTAAAAAAGATAATAATGATAGTAATACAGACCACAAAAATAATATCTGATAAAAGTAATAAATAAAAGAATAATGAAACGTATTCTTCTTTACAAATGTAGAAAAGGTATGAGAGAGAATCAATATTTTCATGATATAAATCATATCTGACCGGTTTCGATTATATCTTACTATTCCGTCGTCAGAAATACATATATTTCTGACGACGGTATAATTAATATAATGATAACATAATAACAACGAGAATTATGATAATCATAATAATAGTGGCAAAGATGATGGGGATGATGATAACAATTATAGGAATGTTGAAATCAATAATGATAAGATGATGATAATGATAATAGTAATAATAATAGTAATAATGACAATAATAACACTAATAATAACGATAATAATGATAGTAATAACAGAAATGATAATGATAGTAATGATGATGGTGAATTAACTGTAATGATAATAATAGTGATATTACTACTAACAATACTGATAATAGTATTGACAATGATAATAAGAACTAAGAGTAAGTGATAAAAGTAACAGATATTGATAATTTTGTTATTACTTTCATTGTAATGATAGTGAAAATAATGAGATAAGAATGAAATAAATTACAAATATAACAATAACATTAGAACAGTAATGACAATGCTAATAATCATAGTAACAACATTAACAATAACAGTAATAACGATAAAAATTATTACTATATTAATAATGATAACAATAATGATATTTTACAGTGTCGATCATTGCAATAATATATCTACCTTAAGAAATCGTGTTCGTATAAACACATTTCATTATCATTATTTTTCTCAAACCACAAACACAAATAATTAGGTTCTTCTACTCCCTCTGGTGCCCCCCCACCCCACCCCACCCTCCCTTCCACCCACCCCGAACTCTTGCATTCCTTGTTCCATTGCGAGTTTGCAAGGAAACCGGAGGGAGATGGGGGAGGGGAAGGAGGGGGGGAGTAAGAGAATGATTAACTAGGAGTTCCGCCCCCACCCCCTTTCCATCTCTCTGTATGTGTCATCGCCGAGCACAGAGTATATAATGGGACACTGAGGCGCATTTCTAAGCAGTTATTGTGGTGTAGTCCCAAAGTCAAGGTAGGAGAACGATCATTGCCATCTTGTGCGTTTTATTGTTTTACGAAAGTGGGACTTTTCGTGCTCACACACAATTACATATATATGATTGTCTATGTATGTAAATCACATGTGTGTGTATAGATATGCACATGCAGTATATATACTATCCTTGACTTTGAACCATTTGCATACTGTCGTGTATGTCTCTTGGGGTCTTCTGAAATCGACCCCCAATTATTCGTCCACAAAAACGATTTGGAGGATTTGGCTATAATGAAATGAAATGATGCATGCACTCATGAAAAAGCCTTGGAAACTGTGTATGTGTTAGTGGGATGCGTTTACAACCCAAACTCCATTCAGTTATGATACAGAAGAGAGAAGCACTTCGCAAACTTGTGCCTGCTCGTGTCACTTGCGTCAGTTGGTGTTACTTTTATCAAGACGTGTCAGTTGTGTCGTTTGCGTTAACATCCGTCAACACGTGTCAGTTAAGTCAACCAACGCTACCGACGTAGAACCTCGTGACAACTCGTTAAATGGGTTTAAGATATAATGTTGAAAATTAAAACAACCATTCAGTTTTTATACTAATCAACTCATTCGCTACTCTAATAATGCATTCATATCATGCAGTCATTATCAAAATGCGAAATGGCATGTTAACAAATACAATAATGTTAATGAATTATATTTTTGATACTTTTACAAGAATTGTTTCTACCATTACAGTCAATATTGCCATTATCACTATCGTCACCAACATCATTTTGATATCGTTATCAACATGCCATCATCTTGGAAATAAATATCATTATCTCCCAACAGTATTGTCATTCTATTATTATCACCATTATTACCTTTATTATATTACCGTTATCTTAATCTCTGTTACCATTATTATTACGTTTCCATCTTCATCATTACCACCATCATCACAAACATCACACGTTTCATCTTCCGTACATTCACACACATGCAAACCCACACAAATGGACTTGCACACGTACAAATGCAAATTCTCCTTCGGCAGATGCACGCACGAAACCTCCCTTTGGCGCTCCTGCTTGCATGTTGGGCCGTTACGTCCTGCGAAGCCTCTCTGTCCATTGGTGGCTTAGTAGGTGGCTTGGCGGTTCTGAAGGGCGCGGCGCTGGTCGGTTACGCGGTGGAGCGTCACCAGCGTTACAACAGGGGACACTACCACGGCCGTTCTCACTATCACGGAGGCTATAACGGGAGAAGACACTATCGCTACGGCCGTTCCGTCGATCCCGACACCGAAGATGCTGATGAAGGCCAAAACTTGCTCCTGTCCACCGTGGGACAGCTCGACCCTGACGGATGCATCCTCAAGATGCTATGCCACCTCCAGACGAGGAGTCACTCCAGCCTCACGCCAGAGGAGAACATCCTCGTCGACATGTTTTCCAACAACACCGAGACTATGTCCTCCTACAACGCCGCCTTCGTCTACGCCACGGACGTCGGCACCAAGACCCGCGACCCGTCCGTCTGCAATGGCCTCTTCCCCAAATGTTCCCTCAAGGAAGAGCAGCTGAGCGGCCTCCTTCGGAGAGTCTGGGGCTGCGCCTCAGACCTCTTCCGAGATGTTGAGCTCGAGGAGGACTTCAGTGCCACTCCGCGCGCTGAACAACGCGTAGCCGAGGAACAGCCTGTCGATGAGGAGCCTCGAGAAGAACAACCCTTGGACGAAGAGCAACCCATAGTTGACTATGTCGATGACGAAGAATTACCCACTGATGATGGCCTACCAAAGATTGATAAAATGTTCCTTGATAATGGAATGCCCCAACATGTTGAAATGTTGCCCCTAGTTGAGATGCCCCAAATTGCTGAAATGGTGCTTGATAACGGAATGCCCCTAGTTCAGTTGCCCCGAACTGTTGAAATGTTGCCCCTAGTTGAGATGCCTAGAATTGCTGAAATGGTGCTTGATAATGGAATGCCCCTAGTTGAGATGCCCCAAATTCCTGAAATGGTGCTTGATAATGGAATGCCCCTAGTTGAGATGCCCCAAATTCCTGAAATGGTGCTTGATAATGGAATGCCCCTAGTTGAGATGCCCCAAATTCCTGAAATGGTGCTTAATAATGGATTGTCCCTAGTTGAGATGCCCCATATTCCTGAAATGGTGCTTAATAATGGAATGTCCCTAGTTGAGATGCCCCGAATTGCTGAAATGGTGCTTGATAATGGAATGCCCCTAATTGATATGCCCCAAAATGATGAAATGGCCATAGAAGAATAGCGCCTAATTATGGAATAATCAATATACAGTATTGAGATCGGTAGCTATGTATTAGGAAAATATATTCAGCGAAATAAATCTCCGAAATGAGTTATTATTCTTGTTATCCTTTTACTGATAATTATTTGTATTTTTATGATAATAAAATCCTCATCACGAAAACCATGCATATATGTGGTTCGGATATATGTGAGAGAGAGAAGATGCATTTGTGTAAGTGTATAAAAGGGTAATGCTTGTGTCGTTGCATGCGGGTTGGTAAGTTTGTGAGCGTATTCAGTGTTTCTTTTAATTCGAGAATTCTCTTCCCCGCTATAAATATTTGAATATATATATATATGTAAGCATATATATAATGAATATACATATATATACATATATACTTGTATATTCTACATATATATGTATATACATGTAGAAAGATTGGAAGAGAAGGAAATGAAGAGATTAAGTGTGAATGTATTAGTGCGTAAAAGGGAGTTTGTGTTTGTGTCTTTCCGTGTAGGTATAAACACAAACGCAGAGTAACGTATAATAACAACAGTGATAATGAGTATAATAGAGATAATATTAATGGTGATGGCAATAATGATAACGTTAAGAACAATAATAACATAACATGAAACTATTATCATTACAATTATTATCTTTATTATTGTTATCGTTATCTTTTTTATCATTATAATTATTATTATAATAATCAGTTAATGATATTAATAGTAATAAGAAGAATTATCATACAAATAATAAAGGTAATGATAATGATAATAGTGATGATATAAGAATAATGGTAATAATGATAATAATGAGAGTAACAATATTAATTATGCTAATACTAATGCTAATACTAATGATACTAATAATGATAATGATAATAACAATGATAATAGTAGTAATGAAAATGATAACAATTATCATAAAAATGATAATAGAGATAGTCATGATAATGATTATAATAATAATAGTAATAATGATAATCATAATGGCAATGATAATAATAATAGTAATAATAATAATAATGATAATGGTAATGATGGTGATGATGTTAGTGTTAATAATAACACTGATAATGATAATAATCGTTATAACAGTAATAATGATAGTAATAATAATAGTAATACCAATAACGATAATGATAGTAATGATAATAATAATTATATTCATAGCAATGCTAAGATAATAACAATAGTGATAACGATGATAATAATAAGGATATTCATCGTACAGGCCACAAGAATAATAACAATGATGAGTATGATGAAGATGATAGTGATAATGATAACAATATTGCTGGTCCAAACTACAAAAATAATTACGAAAATAAATAATGGTAACGATTATGATAATGATAATCACAATATTAACAGAAGTAATGGTGGTAATGAGGAATATTATAATAATGATGAAAATAGCAATGATAACAATAATTATAATAATAATAATTATTATTATTATCAATATTATTATTATTATCAGAATGATAAACGTGATGCTGATGAAGATGATGATTGCAAAAATAACAGTGATGATAATAATAATAATGATAACGACAACAACACGAACAACAATAGTAATATTTCAGATAATCAATATTACTATCATTATTATTATTATGATAATGATACTGATGATAAAAAAATGTAATAGTAATAACAATTATGAAAATGTTAATGAAGGTACTAATGATAAAGATTATGATAATAAAAGTAATGATAATGACAATAATGAAAATAATGATAATATCAATAGCAATAGTAATGATAATATAATAGTAATAATGAAAATAATAGTGATTATAACAATTGTGATAAAGATTATGATGATAATGATAATAATAATAACTATTATGATATCATTACTCTTATTATTACTATTATTGATAATGAAAACAAAAAAAATATAATGAGTAATAAGAAGGCGACGAAGAGTAACATTGATAATAATAACAATAAAGATAATGATAATAATGATAATAACTATGATAATCATCATCATAATAATAACAATAATAATAACATTGAAAATGATAATAATAATAATAATAATAATAATAACAATAATAAGGGTAATAACAATCATAATAATAATGACGATTTTGATGATGATAATAATAATTATAGTAATGACAATAATAATAACAATAAAAATGAATATGATAGTAAGAACGATAATAGTGACAATAGGAAATTAATTATGATAAGGATAATAAATAATGTGTGATAATAATAGTAAGGATAATAGTAGTGATATCAGTGATATTAATGATTATAATGAAACAATGATAATGATAACGATAAAGCCATAATGACACAATAATTACATTCATTGTAATGATAATGAAAATAATGATAACAAAAATAATAGCAATAGCAATAATAACGAACACAATATAAAAATAATGGCAATAAAGATGATAATTGTATCAACAATAACATATTAATGAGAAAGATGATAATGATCAAGACATTTCATAATACAAATCATTCCAGGAATATATTTATTTTAGAACACCCGTTCGTATAAACTTATTCCATCGTCACAATTTCCTCAAACCACAAAAGCAAATAATGAGTTTCCCCCTCCCTCTGGTGCCTCCCTCCCCAACCCCCCTTCCACCCACCCCCAACTTCTGCATTCCTTGCTGTTTCATTGCGAGTCTGCAAGGGAGCCGGGGGAGAGGGGTGGGGGATGGGAGGGGAAGAGGAAGAAGGGAAGGAGGGGGGGGATAAGAGAAGGATTAACTAGGAGTTTTCAAGAACTCCCCCCTCCCCCTTCCACCCCCTGTCTGTGTCAGCGTCGAGCACAGAGTATATAAAGGGACGTTGAGACGCAACTCTAAGCAGTTCTTGCGGTGTAGTCCTGAAGGCAAAGTAAGAGCAATCACATCTTGTGTGTTTTATAACACGTCAGGAGAGTGGAACTTTTCGTGCTCACACATAACCATATATATGTGTGTGTGTGTGTGTGTGTGTGTGTGTGTGAGTGTGTGTATAATGATGATAACAACAACGTATATACACTTGCACTCATGAAGCCTTGGAAACTGTATGAGGGACGTATTTACAATCCAAATTACATTCAGATGTAATATAGAAGAGACAACCACTTCGCAGACTTTTGTCATTTGGTGTTACTTTTGTTAAGACGTGTCAGTTCGTGTCAGTTATGTGTCATTTGCGTTGACATGTGTCAACTTGTGCTAAGTCACGTCACCTATATAGAAACTGTCATGCGATCCGTTGAGCAATTCAACGGAACGGCCTGTTGCGCGATTCTTGTGTGGCGCACAAACTCTACAGTCCCGTGAGGAAATGCGTCTAGCCATTGTGGCAATGGCAGGGAATATTTTTCAGTATGGATTCTGCCATATGAACCTTTACGATCAATGACTTGTATTTTATTATATATTCAGCTAAGCAAGAAGAAACATGAAGCAATGATCCTTGACTCGTAAGCCTAACTGCTTGCCTATTAATGGAAAATATGCTATGTTCTGTTCGAGTGGATTCATTGTAGCGCACAAAAGTGTTCGTATTTTCTGACGGAACGCAAGGCAGCTGGCATTAGCTCGCTAATTAAACTTCAAAAATAGTGAAGATTAAAACAAACATTCAGTTTTTACACAAATGTATTTGCACATTCAATACTGCTGGTAGCCAATTCCTATCATACAGTCATCAATATTACTATCAATGTGCTAACAATGATATGAGATGATAACTAATATACGTGATAATTAGGGAAATATGATTGTAACGGTCATAGAACTAATGATTTTTTTTTTACACGGTTACAAGAATATTTTTTACTATTGCAGTCATTATTATTGCCAGTTTCGTTGACAGTATCTTAATATCTTTATCGTTATGCATTCGTTAAGATAATCAACAGCAGTGTCATTATTATTCTGTCATCACCATTACCTTTCTCATATTACCATGACAATCTTCGTTATCATTTCTATTACTGATTTCCATCTTTATCAGTAACATTACCCTATCATCGCAAACATCAAACATTTCTTCTTTCGTACATTCACACATTCAAACCCACACAAATGGACTTGCACAGACACAAATGCACCCACAGATACCAATGCTGAGAAATGACACGTTACAAACACTATCATTCTCCTTCGGCAGATGCAAGCACGAAACCTCCCTCTTGTGCTCCTGCTGGTGTGTTGGGCCGTTGCGTCCAGCGAAGCCTCTCTGTCCATCGGTGGCTTAGTGGGTGGCTTGGCGATTCTGAAGGGCGCGGCGCTTGTCAGTTACGCAGTGGGGCGTCACCAGCGATACAACAGGGGACACTACCACGGCCGTTCTCTCTATCACGGAGGCTATAATGGGAGAAGACACTATCGCTACGGCCGCTCCGTCGATCCCGACACCGAAGAAAACGCTGATGAAGGCAAGAACTTGCTCCTGTCCACCGTGGGGCAGCTCGACCCCGACGGATGCATCCTCAAGATGCTGTGCCACCTCCAGACGAGGAGTCACTCCAGCCTCATGCCAGAGGAGAACGTCCTCGTCGACATGTTCTCCAACAACACCGAGACCATGTCCTCCTACAACGCCGCCTTCGTTTACGCCACGGATGTCGGCACCAAGACTCGCGACCCGTCCGTCTGCAACGGACTCTTCCCCAAATGTTCCCTCAAGGAAGAGCAGCTGAGCGGCCTCCTTCGGAGAGTCTGGGGCTGCGCCTCAGACCTCTTCCGAGAAGACGTTGAGCGCGAGGAGGAACAACCTGTGGTCGAGGAACGGCCTGTCGATGAGGAGCCCCGAGAGGAACAACAAACCTTGGATGAGGATGAGCTGCCCCAAAATGACAAAATGTCCATGGAAGAACTGGTGGCTCTGATTATGGAATAAACAATATAACTGATTACAAAAGATGGGTACTTATGTATTAGAACAATATATTCAAATAAATTAATTACCGAAATCAGCTGTTATTCTTGGTATCCAGTCAATTTATATGTGTATATGAAATACTCATTACAAAACCCATGTATATATATGTATATATGCGTGGGTGTGTGGCTGTACCCGTATGTGAGAAGTGAGAAACAGAAATGTAGATGTTGAGAGGATGAGAGAGAAAGAGTGTGAGGTGTTTGTGCATGTCACTTTGCATGCATACATGCATACATACATACATATATCTATATATGTACATAATAATAATATTAATAATAATAACAGTAATTATGATAATATTTAATAGAATAACAGTGGTTGCAATGATTACAATAATAATATTATAATGATATTCATTGTAAAGAGAATGATGATGGTAATGATAAAGATAATAATGATAATAGTAATAATGACGATAGTAATAATAATATTAATGATAGTAATGATTATACTGAAAATAAAGATGATAATAATAGTAATGATAATAACAATAAACAATAATAATAATAATAATAATAATAACAAAAGTAATAATAATGATGATATCAATAATAATAAAAATTATGATAATACTAATAATAGCAATATTAATGCCAAAAATAATAAAGATGTTGATTTTAATCATTATAATAATAATAATAATAATAAGTAATAGTAATAGTAGTAGTAATAACAATAGTACCAATAATGATAGCAATAATGATGATAATAATGATAGTGATAAAAATGATGGCAGCAATGATGAAGATATAATAAAAATGATAGAAATAATAAATATGATGTCTAATGATAATGATAATAATAATAACAATAAATATAACAAAATGATAATGCTTATAACAAAAATGATAATAACAACAATAATGATAATAATGATAATAATAATGAAAATAATGAGATTGGAGTGACTCAATAAAGATAATATGAATGAAAATAATGATAATAATGAGAATAATAAATATTGATTACAATAATAATAGTAATAATAACAATAAAAATAATAGTACTACTGCTACAACTAATAGCAATAACAATAGTAATACTACTACTAATAATAATAACAATAATAATAGTAACAATAATGATGACAATTGTAGTAATGATGATAATGATGATGTTCATACTAGTAATAATAGCAATAATAATGATAATTATAGTAATGATGACGATGATAATAATAATGATAATAATTATAATGATAATTGAGATATTAGTTATAATAATAATGATGCTAAGAATATAAAGATAATCGATAACAATATAACAATAATGACAATGATAATGATAATGCTTGTAACAATAATAACAATAATAGTAATAATGATAAAGATGATAATGTGATAATAATGATAGATTATAATGCAAAGCATTACGATGATATATCTACATTAAGTATACTTGTTCATTTCATTATCACTACTTTTCACAAACCACAAAAGCAAATAATTAGTCCGGAAGGGGGGGGGGGATAAGAGAAGGTTTAGCAAGGTGTTCCGCCCCCACCCCCTTTCCATCTCTCTGCATGTGTCATCGCCGAGCACAGAGTATATAATGGGACATTGCGGTGCATTTCTAAGCAGTTATTGCGGTGGAGTCCCAAAGTCAAGGTAGGAGAACGATCATTGCCACCTTGTGCGTTTTATAATGATTCAGGAAAATGGGACTTTTCGTGCTCACACACAATTATATATATATGATTGTGTATATAAGTAAATCACATATGTGTGTATATATGTGCACATGCAGTATATATACTATCCTTAATTTTGAACCATTTGCATACTGTCGTGAATGTCCTTTGGAGTTTTCAGAAATCGACCCCTAATTATTCGTCCACAAACGCGATTTGGAGGATTTGGTTATAATGAAATGAGATGATGCATCCACTCATGAAAGGGCCTTGGAAACTGCGTGTGTTAGTGGGATGCATTTATAAGCCAAACTACATTCAGTTATGATATAGAAGAGACAACCACTTCGCAAACTTGTGCCAGCTCGTCAGTTAATTTTATCAAAACGTGTCAGTTTTGTGTCGTTTGCGTTAACATCCGTCAAGACGTATCAGTTAAGTCCAGCTACGCTACTGACATAGAACCTCGTGATAACTCGTTAAATGGGTTTAAAATATGTTGAAAATTAAAACAACCATTCAGTTTTTATACTAATTTGTTCATTCGCTACTCTAATAATGCATTCATATCATGCAGTCATTATCAAAATGCGAAATAGCATGTTAACGAATATAATGTTAATGAATTATATTTTTGATACGAATACAAGAATTGTTTCTACCGTTATAGTTAATGTTTTCAATATCACAATCGTCACCAACATCATTTTGATATCTTTATCAACATATCATCTTGGTAATAAATATTATCTCCCAACAAGAGTATCATTGTTATTCTATTATCACCATTATTACCTATATTATATCATTATCTTAATCACTGATACCATTATTATTACATCATCATTCATCATTAACATCAACACAAACATTTCATCTTCCGTAAATTGACACACATGCAAACCCACACAAATGGACTTGCAAATGTACAAATGCAAATTCTCCTTCGGCAGATGCACGCACGAAACCTCCCTTTGGCGTTCCTGCTTGCATGTTGGTCCGTTACGTCCTGCGAAGCCTCGCTGTCCATCGGTGGCTTAGTAGGTGGCTTGGCGGTTCTGAAGGGCGCGTCGCTGGTCGGTTACGCGGTGGAGCGTCACCAGCGTTACAACAGGGGACACTACCATGGCCGTTCTCACTATCACGGAGGCTATAACGGGAGAAGACACTATCGCTACGGCCGCTCCGTCGATCCCGACCACGACGGATGCATCATGAAAATACTCTTTCATCTCCAGACGAGGAGTCACTCCAGCCTCACGCCAGAGGAGACCATCCTCGTCGACATGTTTTCCAACAACACCTAGACCATGTCCTGCAACGCCGCCTTCGTTTACGCTACGGATGACGGCACCAAGACTCGCGACCCGTCCGTCTGCCCATAGTTGACTTTGTCGATGACGAAGAATTGCCCACAAATGATGATCTGCCAAACATTGACAAAATGTTCCTTGATGATGGAATGCCCCGACATATTGAAATGTTGCCCCTAGTTGAGATGCCCCGAAATGCTGAAATGGTGCTTGATAATGGAATGTCCCTAGCTGAGATGCCCCAAATTGATGAAATGGCCATAGAAGAACTGGCGCCCCTAATTATGGAATAGTCAATATACAGTATTGAGATCGGTAGCTATGTATTAGGAAAATATATTCAGTGAAATAAATTTCCCTTCACTGATATTGTTTTATTTTTCTTATAATAAAATCCTCATTACAAAACCCTTATATATGTGCGTAGGAGAGGGGGGGCGATCCCGGCTACAGAGTATGTGTATGTGTATAAAAGTGTAATGCTTGTGTCGTTGCATGTGGGTTGGTAAGTTTGTGAGCGTATTCAGCGTGAGCGTATCTTCCCCGCTATAAATATATGAATATATATATGTATGTAAATATATATAGAGAGAGATACACATATATATGTATATATATGTAGAAAGAGATTGGCAGAGAGGGAAATGAAGAAATTATGAGATAGTGTGTGAATGTATTAGTGCGTAAAAAGGAGTTTGTGCTTGCGTGATAACATGATAATAATAATGTAGATATTAATCACAGTAATAATGAATATTATGAATATTGTAAATATTATAATTATTATCATTATCACTATTATTGCTATAATTTTATTATTATTACTATTATTATCATTAGCATTACTATTTTTATTATTATTATAATAATTATCATAATAATCACTTAATAATAATAGTAGTAATGATAAGGATGATAATAGTAGTAATGATAAAGATCATGATAAGGATAACTTTGGTGATGATAATGATGATAAGATAATAATAGTGATAGTAACACTATTCACAATACTAATACTAATGGTAATACTAATTATAATAATGATAATGATAACAACAATGATAATAACAGTAATGACAATGATAATAATTATCATAAAAATACTAATAGTGATAATCATGATAAAAATTACAATAGTAATAATGATCATGATAATGACAATAATAATGATAATAATGATATGATAATGATAATGATGATGATGGTGATGTTAATTTTAATAATAAGAAGAAGGATAATTATCTTAATAACAGTAATAATAATGATAATGATAGTAATCACAACAACAATAATGACAATGATAATAATAATAACAATGATAATATGATGATAATAATAATGATAATACCACTAATAATACAATATTGATAATGATAATATGATATGATAAGATTATAACAATAGTGATAATGATTATACTAATAATGATATTCATCTAATAATAACAATGATAAAGATAATGACAATGATGATAACAATATTGCTGGTACAAACTACAAAAATAATAACGATGATGATAGTGATAAACAAAAATAATGATAATGACAATAATGATAATAATCACAATAATTACAAAAGTAACGTTGGTAATAGCAATGAGAAATATTATAATAATGATGAAAATGAAAATAATGATAATAATTGTTATTATTATTATTGTTATTATTATTGTTATTATTATTATTGTTATTATTATTGTTATTATTATTATTGTTATTATTATTATCACTAATACACTAATAATAATAAAGATAAAAGTGATGCTAATGATGATGAAGATAATTGTAAAATGACAATGACAATAATAATAATAATCATGATACCGACAACAACAGGAACAACAATATTAATGCGTCTGATAATTATTACTGGCATTATTATCATTATCATTACTATAATACTGATAATGAAAATAATAATATTGATAATGAAAAATATAGCAATAGTAATAACAATTATAAAAAAATATATTAATAATAGTAGCAATGATAAAGATAATAATAATAAAAATAATGATAATAACAATGAAA